GATCAAGATGGATAACGCGTTCGATACACCAAAGCAACATAGTGAAAAATAAGATGCACTGGTAATAAGATACCATCCTCTGAAATGCGTTAATGAAATAGTGCGGGGAGTAATTCAAAAGACCGATTTTCTATTCTCCTGGGCAGTTATCAATAAATTGGCCGCTTTTTTGATGAGCATCCACGAAATTTTATTAAACCATCTATTTATCCACAAGAGTTGACGTATCAGAGGATTTCACCTTTTCCAGAGCTTGGAGAGGTCAAGTTAATTGCAGCGAAGCCAGCCAAACACCTCTATAACCTCAATAGAAAAATCACGATACCAAATTCTCAATGGCATTGGTGTAAAATGGCTTCTTCACACAAACACTGCTTTTTATGACTCTTACAGTGTGAGATCTCGCGTGGCAATGAGATATTCCCTTCTGCTGATTATTTTTGTATTCTTGGAATAAACCCAGAATGCTTCGAGGGTTTCACGCGCTGAAGTTTTAGAATCCTGTGCGACGATGACAACTTCTAGGTGCTCTTTTGTACTAACACAGGGGGGTCTACTCGTTTCCATAATACAGTTCAACGATGGCTTACATAGTGAAGTCATTCGATACGTTGGTATAAAAGGCGGTAACGTTGCAGCACTCCATCCGATGCGCGCTCTTAAGACGCGCATTACGCAGACAATACAGGAACATTTGGGCTTACGTATTATGAGCTGGAATGTCTTCCAACAACTGGGTAACTGTTAAGGCTAAAAATCATGTTATCTCTAGTCTGATGATGAATCTAACCATGCATCATAATGGGTCAGTCGACGGAAGGCCATAAATAATTACTAACAATTCACAATTAAAGCTGGAGCTAAGAAATCATTGGTAGCTTTAAACGCGCCGCTTTTACCACTTTGACCCATTCATTGTTCAATTTTCTGCATTGAGTTTTGATTCTCTTTTCAGAAGATGGGCGATAAAGGGGACCATCTTGAAGATGGTTCTTCACTATCTCAACAGCTAACTGACCAAGAATTACCAAACGCCCTTCAACCTTATCCTTGACGATTAATCCAATATTTTTTTGACCGTATCAGCTCACTTACTTCTCGCATGCCACATTTTTGATGTTTCTATGAGGTTGGAGAGAAACTTCTTCATTCTATAACCATTTTTTCATGAAGATTTAAAAGTTTAGTACTCAAATATCCGGAATTCGGTAGCAACTTCATCGTTGTGGTCTTTCTGATATTCTGACGGTAGTAATACTCATGACCTTCATTCATTGTTCATTCCCACTTAGCGTTTCAGTCTAGCTTTGTTACGGAATTGATCTTGAAGCTAACTTAAATTGCATGCGACCCTACTCAAGATTACATCAGAAATAGGTTCAGAAGACCCAAATAGTGACAACTTGCAGGATAGTGACTATTTTCTTGCCAACAAGACACTAATTCCTGGCACTAGCCTACCCTTGGCTGAGATTCCGGATGGAAATGCCTAATTGCTCACCAGCTTCGGATAACTTGCTGAAGGATGACTGCCTAGTCCATTTACAGCAGGCTATTGAGCGAAATACAACCACAACGTCGCTAAGATATTTGCAAAACTCCGGACCGGAGTTTACCGGAACTAGGTGAGAGACAGACGAAATGAAGGACCTGCATGGTGTGGTGGTGAACGCGTTACTGCCCGGAAAGGAAAATAGCGCGTTCGTTCCGGACCGCAGAGACTTGCGGTCCGGAATTTTTTAAATATTTCAGCAACGCTGTGACTGTTTATATTATTACTCTAATTAACACCTTTACCATTTTTATTACTATCATTCTTATTATTACTGTTGTTGTCATTGTTGCCACTGTTAATATCTTTGTAGGTGTGATTACCCAGAAGAATCACCACCGGTTTCACTCAGCCGTTCTCCCATGGGTTTGCAATGTTTTTAGGACATGTCCACTCTCGTTCGCTATCTGTATCAGAATTGTCCAGCGGATTCAAATCGTTTGAAGGATATTAAGAGTATATATTTTCGTTCAAATTTTTCGTGGGCTACACTAACCATTTCACTGGTAGCTTCCTCAGTGTGTTCTTGAAAGCGCATAAACTCGAATCGTTGGAGACTCCTGTTGAGGGAACTGCCTTTTGGATGCATAATGTGTACAGCAAGTTGTCCATTGGTGTTCACTATTTCCACATGTGCAAGATTTGTCATGATTCTTGATTCCATCTGTAATTTCAGATTCCCTCGCACAACACAATCGCGTGGTGTTTGTTATTCCCAGCATCAGCTTTGTGATAACGCACTCGTTTGATAACAATGGCCTACCTTTCATCCTGTTTACATATCATCCAGGTTTTCAACGCACTTTTGATCAGTGGTGTCTAGTAGGTGGACATTAAGCCAAGTGTTATTTATCTTCTTCGTTACTTCCTACACTCGTGAAAGCTCTCCAACGGCTCTTTTTCTGCACAGCTCTAAAATTACTTGGTTTTTCGTGACTTAATATCGGATTTCGACCTGTATGTTTAAAATGAAATATCTCGGCTCAGCACAAACTTTAATAATCTAAAAGCCATTAGAATCTATGGATTTGAAAAAATAACCACAAATTTTTGTCTCCCGCTTGCATAAAACTCTGAAGTCCTGATGGCGATGAAGTCGTCGAAGCCAGTCCCTGCCTTGGCTTTGTTTCTGAATCATTTCTCGTACACGAAGTTACTGAGATGCTTTAAGAAGTGGTAGATGGTAGATAGTAGATAGTAGACGGGTGGTCTTGCGAGTATGAAAAAGATCAGCTTCTTTCTGTTGACCAATGTGGGGCGCACCCCTCAAGGTTTCTGGTTCATTTCGTCGACTTTCAAAACATAATTCGTCACCGTAATCGTCTCAGCCAGGTTCAGGAAGCTGTGATGAATAAAACCAGTGGCACCACGAAACGGTCAGCGTGGCTTTACCTTGGTGCAATTTCAGCTGTGGAGCTTCATTGCTTTCCAGCCAGATCATCCATCGCCACTTATCATAGAAGATTCAGCTCTCGTCGTAGGTTACAAACTGGTAGAAAAACGTGTGGTTCTGGTTGTGTAGATGAAGCACCGACGATACCCACAACAGCATTTTCGCGCTTCTCGACTTTCGTGTCATCATTGGATGCTCCCAAAGCGTGTATAGAGTCCTTTGGCACGTTGTTTAACAGTTGAGCATGTATCTCCTGTAAGGAAAACGTTCAGTAATGTCGTCAATTATAGCAGCACGTCCGCGACCCCTTTCATCTTCAAGGACGATCTCGCCACGAGAAAATGTTTCAGATCAACTTTATACTGTTCGTTTGCTTAAACCCTCTCGGCGCTACAACTCATTAATGGTTCGGGCCGTTGGGCTGAACTATAACACATCTGTGTTTGAGTTCCCAGAGCAAGATTTGTCGAAGCTGGTGTTTCGAGATGTGAAATTTCGAAAGCTTTTAAAATTCATCAAAAAACTATCAATGTGACAATTAAACCAAAAAGTGCATAAAACGATCTTCCCAATGGTGTGTAATAGTGCAGCATCCGAAAAAAAGCCGTTGTTAAAACATAAGCGAAAAAATGAAATATAGCTTCTATAATGCTGAGATAATTGCAAAACTCCGGACCACAGGTGTCTGCGGTGGGGAACGAACGCGTTATTGTCCTTTCCGGGAAGTAACGCGTGCACGACCACACCATGCGGGTCCTTCGTTCAACTAGTTCTTTCGATCAGCGCCATCAGCAATCACCCTTCAACGGGATTGATCTAGGGAACCCAAATTGGCAACGAACCCAATTAAGTCTAGGCTGAAGTTGAAATCACAATCTCAACCTTTTTAGTTCGAGTGTTTTAGAGCGCGTTCGTTTCCCACAGCAGACATCTGCGGCCCGGAGTTTTGCGAATACCTCAGGATCATCTTAGTTGTAGCTAGATATAGTTGCGTGTCTCTCAGCTAGTTCTATCGATCTTTTGCCATTAGGAATATTTATATTTCGCAACATACGCTGCCGTTAAAAAGAATAGGTAGTAAATAAAAAGGTTAAGATTGTGAAAAAAATGGTCACAAAGTCGATATTGATTCCCGAAAAAATCGATATCTGTTAGAATTTTCCATCATGTTAGTTGTTGAGTAAATATTGAAAGGTCATATTGATAATTTCGGAATAGTACCAAAAATGGTTGAAGAACGGATTGAAATGAGCGCTCGGTGGCGTCGGATCAGCGAAGATTATTTGGGTTGAGCACGCCGCAAATTCTGTGAACACCGCAAAAACCCTAATATTATGCAAATGAAAGAAGCCCAGCACCCGCACCAAATAGGTCTTCCGAAACTTATCACGTTAGCCTTTTGACAAGAGCACATGCCATCGATTCACACTATGTAGTCGATTCAATCCATACAGCAGTCCAGATATCCATGAACAATTTCCGCAACCTAACGAACTCACAGATTGGCAGACGATCCTGTTAGCCATAGTGTCAATAATAATTCTCTGTTGATTTGTAGATTTCGTTGGAATTTCAACATAGCATTTCAATCGTTCCATAAATGGTAGAAATTTTCCAGTGAGTTATATTTCTCTTCCTACTTCTAAGAGGGTGGGTGTGTCAGTAGGATGAGAGCGATTGATATCCTCTTTGTCCTCATTCTTCGCATTTTTCTTTTATTAAACCGAATTCCTTCTATAGACACGGGGCCGCATTAGTGCTTGTCGACGTTCGTATTACTGGGCGTGGCACAACTAGCAGAATGGTCTCTACCATCTAGCTGATGACAATTCTACAGTGAGAGCTGTAAAACTGTCATCAGCGTTTTCGTCATAACACAAACCAACGACCTTTCGTTATGTGCAGAGTTCCAATGATCACGTGAGAGCGCCTAATCAAGATATTCAACTGTTTCCTCCTAGGGGTTTTCGTTTCAACAGATGTCTTCGATCACGATCGATTCTCGCATTGTAGAGTGCTTGACTTCTATCAATATCGCGTGCACTATTGTTGCTGTTAGTGCACAATATACAGAGTGTTAAGCACACTCGACGCCGGTGGCGGCCCTCTCTCGCCCCAATCCTCTCTTTCCTTCCCTCTGTCCTCTCCCTTTCTCCCTTCCTCTCTTTCGTTCGTCATCACTGTGAACGAAAACATCATCCTGAGACCAGAATCGCTGCCGAATCGAGCTCGCTCAGAGTGTGAACTGTGCAAACTTCTGGATGAATCAGTTATTGCCTCGTCGCTCGTCATTCTCCGACAATGATTCCTTATCTTTCCGTATTGATTCGCGTCTCCCAGTCGAGGAACTATTCACTCGATTCTGTAGCGCTCTGGTTCACTTAATTTCGAGGAACGTTATCGGGAACGCATCGTTTGCGTGACCCCTTCGCCACTACCACCGTGTCATCGTCCTCCTCGTTTCATGTAGATCGAGTCTCTTTTCTTTTCCTTGTGCTCGCGATATAAATATCTCGAAGGAGTTCCAGCAGCGAGTGATGTCGCTTCTGAACTTCTTCTGATTCACTTTGCTGTAACGATCTTTGTTCTAACAGTTGGACGCTATTATATTCGAAAGAATTATCGTTATCATAAACAACACTGTCTAAGTTCTGGTGTAGATCGCTTTTGTTTCTTTATTGACTCTATTCCGGAAACTACTCATCGCGATCCTAGAGAATCATGACAAGACAGCAATTTCTAAGCTATTAAGATCTCAACTTCTACAAACCCGCTTCTTCAACACCTGACGAACGATTTGGAAGTAAGCAGTCATCTTCAGTTCAGTAGACTGGAGATATATCATAATATGTATATTTATTCGAGGGCTAATCGAAACTTAATTAGTATAGGAAATAGTGGACCAGAAAAGCCTTTTCTAGACTTAATAATTTATAAAAAACTTTTTTAAGGGAGTAAAGTGGCCCATATTTTGACTATTAGCTAACTATTTCATTTTAAGCCCAATAATGAATCGTGGCGCGTGTGGCGCAGTGGTTGGAGGCGCCACTGCAACACATGCATGGAATCGATCTCCGCGCCCATAGCTCACAGAGCCTTCCATCCCTTCGGGGTCGGCAAATTGGTACCAGACTTGTCTAGGAGGTTAGCAGCACTAGCTCGATATATCGATAGATTACCGCGAGTCACTGTAAAGCCCAGATATGCATTCAATCACCTCCAACGATACTTAATGAAGTCGAATGCATGGCGCATCCCACAGGGATTGATCAACGCCGAGAGCTTTATCCTTTTTTTAAAATGGATTTTGGCTGTTATATAGAACACGCAGGTGTAAAAAATACGAGATAGACATAGCATAGTTTACAGGACACTTCCAGATGCTAACAGTAACGTGGCTGCATGAATCGTAGTAACATGAAGTAAATAATGCCGTACATGACATCGATATAGTCTCTTTTACAACTCTGTCATATTCACAACCCTTCAAGTCCATGGAAAAATTATTATTTATTGTCAGAAACCAAGAAGTCTGTAAAGACTGAAAATTCGGCGTCGTGCCAAGCGGTATGGTCGCTAGATACCCTGCGTTCGTTATATGCTAATTGGTAAAACGATGCTGAACTTTTTATGTTCTTCTTCTTTTACAGGAGTTATTCAGTTCAAAAAATATTGTGAATCTCGGGGAAGTTGTGTTCACACTCTGGTTAAACGTTCACGATCGGCGCGATGAGTCTTGGCAATTTCGTAGTTGATTCTTGGGTCCCCTATCTTCATGAAGAACCGTGCCCGGCACGGCTTCCATTTGTCTGTATTTTGTTGGGTGGGCAAGCTTTCTTTCCCTATAGTCCTGCGATATTCGTGCTAGGGTGTTCGCAGGTCGTCAGTAGTCGCACGCCAAACCTTGTGCACTACCCTTGGTTGAATTTCAAGGTGGCAAACTCCTTTTCATAGCGACTGGTCGTTCGGAACGGTGGTTCCTTCTTATATCACATTCCGACACCGAAGCACACCAGCTCATCACGATGAAATAGCAAATCGTCGGTAGAAAGCCTTTTTGATTTGCTTAACAAGACAAAAGCATTGTTTTCAATACGTAACAGACGACCGCTCACCGTTTTTATACCTTAATTAGTCATCTATCGAATACGTAAAATGTCTCTGGTCTTTCGTTTCAGAATGTCATCAAGTGTGATAAGAGAGTTTGCCTCAGCCAGTATAGATTAGTGGGAAGACGCGGTATTTTCTTCTAATCGTATGAGTTGAAAGCAGTTCTAAAACCTTCGACTTGAGAACACCCACTTCTGATGCAGACAGACGCTCTGCTAACGATTCTGAAACACGTGAATCATATCGAGCTATTGTTTGTTGACATAATCGATACAGCATCACCATTGAATTCCTTTTTAACAAGAGCTTTGCAACAGTTCGTTTCATTTACCAACGTTCTCTTGAAGTTTATGAGATTAGTACGGAAACGATTTGCTATGGTCATTGATTCCTTGGACACATGCAGACAGTCATAGCCCTCATGGAGATTATTTTAGCTTTCAGTCACGTCTTTCCATATCTAATTATTTTACAGTTATCCTACAAGAGCGCTGTCCATCATAACATTCTCACATTTATTAGCGTAGTCTGGTGGCAGAGGCGTCCTGCAACACGGACATGGAATCGATCCCTGCGCCTATGGCACACCAAGCCTTCCATAGCTCCGGGATCGGCAAATTGTTATCAGACTTGTCTGGGAGGATAGCAGCACTGGCTCGATAATCAGTAGGCCACCGCGAGTCATTGTAAAGGCCAGATATGCATTCAATCACCTACAAACGATGCTTGATGAAATCGAATGCATGGCGCATCCATCAGGGATTGATCAACGTCGGGAGCTTTTTTTCTATTAGCTTAGTATAAAGCAGCCGAAGTTAATACCATAGTGAAAAGTGTTAGATAGGAGTAGTCAATTCTGGGCTGTTTCTGCAGCGGTGGAATTGTCTTGTTACGCCCGTCCTGTTTGGTAGCTGAAGTGATCCAAAGTCGAAAAGCGTTTAAGAAGTTCCTTTGGCTCTCCAATTATACTGCTTTTGCTGTTTGTTGCTATTTCTTTTTCCATCTTTAATCCACTTTTAAAGCTTTAATGCATTTGGTTTTCACTGTTTATTATTGTGTTTATTTAAGAAAAATGTACAAATTTGTAAATATACAAAGGGCGCGTGTGGCGCAGTGGTTGGAGGCGCCGCTGTGACACACATGTAGAATCGATCCCCGCCCCCATGGCCCACCAGGCCTTCCAACCTTCCGGGGTCGGCAAATTGTTATCAGACTTGTCTGGGAGGATAGCAGCACTGGCTCGATAATCAGTAGGCCACCGCGAGTCATTGGAAAGGCCAGATATGCATTCAATCACCTCCAACGATAATTAATGAAATCGAATGCATAGCGCATCCCTCAGAGATTGATCAAAGCCGAAAGCCTTATCCTTTTTTTTATCCTTTATACAAATTTACTGAACTACTAAATGCAGACGTGAATAGGGCATCTTTTATGAAAACCTAGCAGAATTTTTCCTTGACATCGTCATTTAAAAAAAGCGGACCTGTGGGAGGCTTTCAGTGCTGACTCTCAACAACGCATTCGCTTCCTATGACGTGCATCACATTTTGTTCACCTATCGTGTTTAGGCTTCGCCTTGAAGTGGTTTTCAGGAATTGCTCATTAGTCATTTACCAGTTCCGGGTTTGCTCGTGACGGTCTGGCACGTCTCTTTTGTGTTTTGTCGTTCCGTGGAATAGGTATGAGTTGAGATGTACGACGAGGAACCCCGTGCTCTTTGCAATTTACCTCTCAGTGTAAGATTTTTCTCTCTTTTGTTTTCACAGCTGTTTAGTACCTACAGAATTCTACAGTGTTGTACTATTTTGTTTATTGCAGTAGTAAGGTGGAAGAAAAAAGATTTGTAGGTCCGATTTCGCATTTGATGAATGCATTTCACGCCATGCTAAAGCACTATGCAGTTTCGTTTCTGTTGAATAAGCCTAAAGCTATCGATTAACACTCTCGCGAAGAATGACAACTATAAATGTCATAATGGTTTTGCAAGTGTGGCCGGTACAACATCTATGAGTCTCATTTTCTTCCCCATGGCTTGTTCTAACATATGGAATTATTTCGCTGTTCTTTTTGTTACCAGTTGATAGCTTGTAGGACACAGATGTTGTGTCGGGCGTTGGTAGGGAAAAGCACTATTCTGTATCTAGAAGTATGCAAAGAACCGTCTTCAGAGCGATTTCACAAACCAGTAGTTTGAGTGCTAATCGATTACTGATTCAATTCTAATTGCTAAAGTGAATGGTAGTTATCGTATAGAGTGTACGAGTATAAACAGTACTGAAATAGAGACCCATAACTTGCAGAACACTTTCAAATGCTGACAGTATTGTGTCTATATGATGGACCGTAGCAACATATAGTCAATACTTGCTACATGATCTTTAACGGCCTGTCCTCACTCGTTGTGTGGATCTCAGCATAATCTCCAGTTTTCGGCGTTTTTTTGGTTTAACCATTGTGGTTCCCCGTGATCGCGAGGTCAGTCTAGTCAAAGTCTGCCCCAAGTCGTCACCACCACATGCAGTCGCAGCCCTTGTGGATCAGAGGGAGATTTTCCAACATGCGACCCTAGTTTGATACTAAGACGGTGGTGAATCTTGGTATTGGTTTACTCTTAGCTGGGCTTCCTGACGCTGACACCCAGGAACACCTCCCAGCCAGCCACGATGAGGCGGTAAACCGTTGGGAGGATATATAGTAAAGAGTACTATTAATATCATTTATACCTATACAGCGATAGGGTGAAGTCTTTTATACAATCCCTTTGTGTTCACAACCCTTGAAGGTTCTCTAGTTAAATCATCGTAAATTTTCAAAAAACTAGAAACTCCATGAAGGCTGAAAATTAGCGGTCTTCCAGTTCGCGACAAGCTTAAGATTGGGAGTCGTCGTGAGGGTGTTGAGTTCAAATGTGCGACAAAAGAGCTCGAGAATGCACACCCTTGAAGAGGATTGTGAACAATGCATCTCTTCCGCTCTTCCCCGATTCATGCATTGCGTTCAGTGCGTCTCAGGTCTACATTTAATCTCAGCGAGATTTGTTGTAAGATCCAGTTTTCATTTGAAAATGCGCCGTTTAAGGAATTAGGCTAATCACTTATATAAGGGTTAGGAGTGATCATGAGCGAGTTGTTGAAGGAAACATTAAATATCCTGCATAAGCAAATCTGCCATCAGTTCAAATACGCTTTGGTGACCTTGACTGAGATGGAGTCACGCTCGATGGTTTTCGGATTTTATAGAGTTGTAAGTAGCCGCCAGTTTGTAGGATTCATGTAGGCAAATATCTGCTGTTCGTTTTGGAGTTTTGAAGTTCACTGCTGTCGAGGAAATATTACATCGTAATCGGAAAATATATGTATCTACATCATGAGAGGCAGCGTGTCACGCAGTGGTCGGTGGCGCCCTGTAACACACAGGATCGATCCCCGCGCCCGTTTTCCAGCAAGCCTTCCATCCCTCGGGGGTCGGCAAATTGGTACCAGACTTGTCTGAGAGGATAGAAGCACTGGTTCGATATATCGGTAGGCCACCGCGACTCATTATAAAGGTCAAAAATGCATTCAATCACCTCCAAACGGTATTTGATGAATGAAGTGGAATCCATGGCGCATCTCTCTGGGATTGATCAACGCACGCCGACAGCTTTATTTTTTTTTATATAGTGAGAATACAAATAGAGTTAATTTGATAGGAAAATATAATAGGACGGACTGTGAGTGGATAAATCCGTGATGTGAAGATTTTCAGGGAACCGTTGGCATTATCAGTTCACTGGTATTGCTTTCACAAGTTCTTGCACTGTTTCTGGTCTGCTCCAACAACTTCTTTATTTATTTTTTCGAGCTGATTGTGGCATTTGGAATGGTATTTTTCTTGTCACAAGGTGTACGGTACCGAAAACCAGGCTATTTAACTGTGTATCTAGCCTATTTGGTGAGGCCACACTTTATATTTCCGGTTGATAAAGTCGCTTACGCCAACTCCCACGCACCGTTTCAAAAATAGGTCTGGTTCATTTCAAGCCTGGTAGATGAATTCTTTTTATCAGCGTCATGTTTAGAGTCCTAAAATTTTACGCGAGGTTATGTATTAAGACATTTGATATTTATGGAACAGACGAAAATGTTTGCTGTCGAAAAAGGAGTGTAAATGAAAGAAGTGAGGACTGCTAGGGTAAATTACTTTGCGGTTCAGATGTTGATGTTTTGGTCGTAAGAACTTGCTTAGATGATACCAACTCATACTAACTTCACAGATTATTTCTAAAGTAGGAATACCAACTAGTACTTTTATCGGAGAACAGGCGCGTGTGGCGCAGTGGTTGGGAGCACCTTGCAACACACATGGAATCGATCCCCGCGCCTATGGCTCACCAAGCCTTCCATCCCTCCAGGGTCGGCAAATTGATACGAGACTTGTGTGGGAGGATAGCAGCACCGGCTCGATACGTCAGTCGGCCACCGCGGGTCATTTTGAAGGCCATATATGCATTCAGTCACCTCCAAACGATGCTTAATGAAGTCGAATGCATGGCGCATCCCTCAGGGATTGATCACAGCTGAGAGCTTTACCCTTTTGTTAACGCAGAAAATCATGCTATCAGCACTTAAAACACTCTTCTTTCCCATAAATAATATTGAGGCTTTAGTTTTTGAACTTTTGACTAATAAAATCTGTTTTAGATTTCCTTTTTAGGCGATCTATCTGTTTATGATGTTTTTCATCATATTTGGTTTGTTGATCGGTTTAAGTTTTCTGCCAACCTACACGAAGTATTGTAGTGCAGTGTCGTCGACAAGCACAATGACATCACCTGTCACTCTATCGAAGCCATCTCAACGAATAGGTGATTTTTTATTTATTATCTTTTCTCAAGGCTTAAAACAACCTCATCTTTAAAACAACTGAACGGTAGTTGAAGCCATTATTTGTGGTATTATTAAAAATATTTGTGGGCGGGTATAGCACAGTGGTTAGAGATGCGCAAGAAAACACACACGGTCGTTTGTTCGGTTTCGCATCTCAGTCGAACCAATCTCTCCAGCTCCCAAGGTCAATCAGCAAATTAGCAGGAAGCTTGTCTAGGAGGACAAGAAATGCCAGCTGCAAGCATGGGTAGGCCTCATTGGATAGGCAAAACATGTCATCCTGTACGGTACCAAAGGGAGTCGAATGTGTCGTTTTCCTCATGAATGGGTTAACGCCGTACGCTTGAGGCTTTATTATTTATGGGTTTTCTTATATTTTTCGTTTATTTTAGCGTAGAGCACAGGTGTCCAAGGTGGGGAATGAACTTGCTATTGTCCTTTCCGGGAAGTAACACGTTCACCACCACACAGTGCGGGTCCTTCGTTTCGCCTATCTCTCAGTAACATTTTGGTTGTATTTCGCTTAGTACCCTGCCGTGAAAATTGTAGTAGGCAGAAAACAAAAAGTAAAACATTGTGGTTTCAACTACAGCTTCAGCTTAACTGGGTTCAATGCCGATGCGGGCCCCCAGATCAATCCCGTTGACGGGTCTGATGGCGCTGATCGATAGAACGAGCTGAGAGAAAAGAGAAATCAAGGACACTCATGGTGCGGTGGTGAACGCGTTACTCCCCAGAAGAAACGTTAGTGCTCTCACGCTACTGAATTATTTACTGTAATGCTGTCATGCTTTAGGAACGTAGTATAGCCCTTGTATAATTGTTCATACAGATGGAAAAAGACAAAGGCAAATTTCTAAGAAATGATGGATTGATGAAAACTCGGTGTAAATGCTCCAATGAGGTGGTTTACCAACCTTAGAATAATAGCGGATTTTGTGCTTTTCCTTTTTCACAACGGCGGTGGCATTTGTACTATTTGTTCCATTCATACAAGGGTTTTTAAGTAAGTCGGTCATACCAACGAGCTCTAGGAGACGAGTTGTGGTTTGAAGTATGTTCGCTAAGTCCGGCACCCAACGTTGTCATCGACAATGTCTTTGTTTGAAAACGGGGTTGAACGTCATCCACTTCGTTGAGCTAAAACCTGTGTTATTTTTATTTCCTTCAAAATATGATTTCTAGATTTTTTAGCAATGAACTGCTCGTTCAATAACAATTTCGACATAATAAGTTTGACGGCTGATTAAGAGAGCTTCGGATTCCGCCATTGGTCTCCTATTAAGGTTTTGCTAATGCAGAAGTGTAGCTCCGCCTTTGGAATACTACTGTTTGCTAGTTATGAGTGTCAATGGAACATTGTTTGTCCTTCGGACTCCTGGAAATATAAATTCTTCATAGAAGGGTTCATCGCTTACTGTAAGAGCATAGATCAAGTAGGACTCATTTCTTTCATTATCTGTATAATCTGTGGAGTGGCTAGAGTAGATCCTAATGAAGTTTCCTTCTCTTGTACTCTGTCGGAGTTACGTGGTAAATGCTGTTTGCTTACTCCGATGAAATAAGGCGTTTACTTTTACCGCTCTTAGCAAGTGAGTACTCATCAATGGGTCGTCGATGTTAATATAATTTTGCGCAGATCGATCGTTGTAGTAAGCAGAAAAGAAAATAGAATCGCTCAGCAGGGAGAGGGAATCCAGTTACTGGATCTGCTAGCTTCTTAGGATAAATCTACTGTAACTTCTTACTCAGGGTTTTTTTTTATAACATACATTTGATGGTCTCTATCAGCATTAAACATCACTGGATGTCTTGATTATCCGGCTTTAGATTCCTCATATTGGAAAAATCAGTGGAATCTTATTTTTCATTCGTATTTTACAACTTTTGGCTTAGGTGTTTCCAATTCTTTAAAAGATTTTTCCTTAACTGAGTGTGTACGCATTCATGCCACTTAGAGTTTGGTTAAGTAGGTAAATCGGGCGCGACAGTGTATTTCCATAATGGCGTCCCATTTGAATATTCAATAAAAAATTGGAAGAGATCTGAATTTTGTGGGCTCATGAACCACTCTCAACGGTTTACCGCCTCATCTTGACTGGGAGGTGTTCCTTGGTGTCGGTTTCTTGCGATGTACAGCGGGGAATTCATACCCCGGCAGAGTCTTCCATGCTGAGAGGGAGTCTGGCGTTTCCACCAGGAAGCCCAGCTGAGAGTAAACCAATACCAAGATTCACCACCGTCCTGGTATCAAACTAGTGTCGCATGTTGGCAAATCTCCCTCTGATCCACAAGGGGGCTTCGATTGCCTATGGTGGTGAAAATCTGGGGCAGACTTTTGGCCATGCTGTCCTCGGGATTCCAGGGAACCACAATGGCTAAACCAGCAAGACTCTGAAAAATAGAGGATATGCTGGGACCCGCATAATCAGTGAAGACGGGCCATTTAACTATCCAAGTAGGTAAGTATCCATTAACCAATTTCAATCCATTACAGCTTATGTCAACCGAGATGTGCCTGCAGAAACTCCTTCGGAAACTGTAAAGCTAGAATTTTGCCGAGTCGTTCTCTTACATGTTCCGTCGCGGCTTCATAGTCAGTGTGGAGAAGTGACATCATGGGAACTACTAACAAATATTGTAACTAGTAGATTTTATTGAACATTGTGGTGAGCTAAGATGGTTTCGCTGTCGAAACGGAAAGTTCTAGAGCAATTAAGTTCAAAGAAATTCCTGCTGCTTGGCCTGCTATATCGTAGCAGATCGACCGTTCTACGTGGCCAACTACATACACCGTTGTGTATTTGGCCTCAAATGAATCATCTACAATAAGTTCGAGTGAATTTTGTTCATGAAATTCCTTTATTACGAGCTGAGCAACTACTTTCAGAAAACTTTGTTGATGATACTTCCCCCACGTCTGTCGACATCGAATGTGTTGAGATTACGGGAGCATGTAAGTGATGGTTTTTGTTGACATTGTGTTAAGTAATTCAAGTATCAGGGCAAGATTAGCACTTGTGACCACGTTTCTTTATTTATCTTATGCACTCATAATGGCGTTTCGGCAAACAAAATACTGTATTTGATAGATACAAATGAGTCCGTTGAAGTTTACAAAAACATAAAAGAGCAATACGAATGAGATCGCAATGTTTAATTTTTTATTTACTGCCTACTACAATTTTCACGGCAGGGTATTCTTCGAAATCAACCGCAACGATGCTGAGATATTCGTGAAATTTGGACTCCGGGCCAGATCGAACCACAATTTTCCTTTCCGGGGGGTCGCACATCTCACATTGCTCCACAGTGGCTCTTGTTCTGCGTTTGTCTCAGCTAGTTTTCTATCTACTAGTGCTATCAGCAAACACCTTTTAACACGATTGATCTGGGGAGCCCACATAGGCATTGAAATCAGTTAGGCTGAGGCTGCAATCAAAATCACAATGTTTACTTTTTTATCTACTGTACTGTTCTGTTTTATAAAAAAGTAAACACTGTGATTTCGACGGCAGCGTCAGCTTAACTGTTCCAATGCCGATTTGGGCTCCCCAGATCAATCGCGATTGCTGATGGCGCTAGTAAATAGAAAACTTGCTGAGAGAAACGCAGAACAAAGGCATCCATAGCGCAGTGTATAGTGCGGCAAGCCCCGGAAAGAGAAATTGTTGTTCGATCTGGCGGGACCTCCAAGTTTTGCGATTATCCCAGCATCGTTGTGATGAATGAGATCGTTGCTTCTTGTTTCCGAGAGTAATCGTTCTATTGTTAGGGATCTGCATGAAATGTTCATGTTTGCAGTTTGGGCGAATATTTGGTCGTCGGTGACCTTGTGCTTCCTCAGCATCGTCGTCTCGTGTATTCAAATTCGCTATACCCTCCTCCTTTACAAGTATCTACGACGTCGTCAACGAGAGTGAGTCCAAACGAATTTTTCTGTTGTCGTTCGCGTTCGCCATTCCCTAGTTTAGTCACTGCCTTAGCAGTCCTTCATACAGCCTTCCATGTTTAATAATTAATTGACAGTGATAAGTTTTACTGTATCTTATTCCATCTTGGCAGCCAAATGCAAAAAAGAAGCACAAAGCACGATGAGAAGGAACAGCCGTACAAAGAAATTGGTGAAAGTTGATGCTAGGTTTAACGGTAAAATAATGTCCGTTTCATCTACTTTAGATAAGACACGTTTTCCGGGTTTTATCGCAAAGTATACCGACTTTAAGAAATTGTGATAAAATTGAAAAAGGAGAACAAAGAAAACCTGAAGAGTTAATCTGCGCGCTTTCAAGTGACAGAAATGAGTTACAGTATCACCGTAGCATCCAGGCAAGAAACCGCTGATCACCATGCAATGTGACGTTTCGTAAGCAACTGATTTGTACGATTCTGCTCAATGCCAACGATGCCCACTATTCCTCTAGGTTTGGTAAACTCGTATAGGAAAAGCTCTTTGCGATCTATTAATGCCGGTGGCCTCCCTGTAGTGAATAACTGAGTTCGTTCTAGAAAGGACTGTCCCAGAATTTCAAAAACCGGCTTTCCTTTAATCTTAGCATGACTAATCAACGTGTGTATTTTCATTGATGAGTTACCAAGAGGTTATTAAAAACATTATTTGGCTAATGCTTCTGTGCTTTTGCCTTCTTTAGAACAGAAATGATCCGAGTCGATTGCTCACAGTTGTGGGCGGTGCTCCACTTTTGCCATCAGCAATCACCCGTCAGCGGGATTGATCTAGGGAGTCCAAATCGGCATTGAACCCAGTTAAGCTGAGGCTTAGTTATAATCACAATCTTAACCCTTTTATTATTGCCTTTTTCTTTTTAATGGCACGATATGTTGCGAAATATAACTCGTATATAATACTGAGATATTTGCAAAACTCGGCAAAAAAATTGATCACTCTTTGAAGAAGGCGAAGGCACCGAAACGTCAGCCGAATAAAGCTTTTTATCGATCTCATGATAGCTTATCAATGAGAAAACACCACTAAAATCCGCCGAAACGTCAGCGTCATAGTAACAACGAGTAAAATAACACCTCTTGTTTGCTCAATAAAAATATAAAGATTTGTCTGATCAGTGCCGAGGTTAATAGAAAGTCTATCGTGGAAATCACATGTTCCAGAATTTCAAGGGGAATCAGTTCGATCAGAACATCTGTGAACAAGACGAAATCCTCAGAACGCGGCTGAACAAATACGCAAATCCGAAGGTCTTCGTGAATAATGGATGCAACACAACGAACCGATTGGAAGAAATGCTGAGCTTCGCTTATGAAGTCATGTGACAAAGATAGAACAGGTTAAAACCGAGGCAAATCTGCAACATGCGGTTGGATGGTGTGCGGAGCGACCACCTCTAAGTAGAACAACGGTTACCTCAAATGAAGTTGGACCTTAAATGAAAAAGATTGACAAAAGAACATCACATAAATTCTGCGCAAGCGAAGGTCCCAAAGGCAAGGATACATCAAAAGGATATTGTAGTGACTTTTCATGGTCGGTAAAGAAAAGATGGTTTACATATTTGTTTTGTTTAGCGTGTTCTTATGGGGAAACCTTCATTCTAAGGAATACAAAGGAAAAGGAGTACAGAGCATAATGTAGAAGTAGAGCGCGTGTGGTGCAGTGGTTGGAGAGGCCATTGCGACGCACACGTGGAATCGATCCCCGCGCCCATGGCTCACCAATCCTTCCATCACTCCGGGGTCAGCGAACTGGTACCAGACTTGTCTGGGAGGATAGCAGACCTGGCTCGATACATCGGTAGGCCACCGCGAGTCATAGTGTAAGGGCAAGATATTCATTCATTCACCTTCAACGATACTCAATGAAGTCGAATGCATGGCGCATCCGTCAAGGATTGATCAAGGCCTGGAGCTTTATCTTTTTATCCTTTTTTAACGTAGAGCTGTATTAAGAGTGTAGGAGTTTTTCGACGTAGGTGTGATGTTTTCGTCTAGTAAAATGAAATGTGTACTATAAGCCCTTTAAATATTTCTATTAGCAATAACAAGCTTACACAGTACAACAGTACAACATAGTCGAGCGCTATTTCCGAGTTCATTACCTACCTTCTGCTAATTAGACGCTCGACAGTTCCGTATGTTCAGAAAGTTACAAATAGTAACATTGTCTGAGTAGATATTAACACTGAGTTTTTCACAACTAACGTTCGTGCTTTGGTTTTCAAAACTGTACCTGTGCAATTCCATAAGAACAGTCAAAATCATGAGCACCGTTTCCACTGTATACGTTGTTATAACTTACTATTATCATTAATGCCGTTGTTACGAAATATAGAAGCTTTTCTTTAGACAAAGCTTGAACTTGAACGTGAGTTATCAACACTTCGTTCCCGGCGCTCCGCCAAGGTACACTCCTGATTCACCGTACACCGTGCAGACGTCCTCTCCAGCTCACGTCGAAGCCGATCCACTTCCGCCGAAAACGTCCCATCCACCAGTGATCGCCAACTTGCAGGCATGTTGAAAATGTCTGGTCTAGATAACAAAATTGCTAAATTAGTAAATGACTACTTAATACATACACATACCTCCCTCAACGGTTTACCGCCTCGTTATGGCTGAGAGTTGTTCCTAGGAGTCGGACTGCGATGTACAGCGGAGGGATTCATCACCCTAGCAGGGTCTTCCAAGCTGAGAAGGAGTCCGGTGTTTCCACCAGGAAGCTTAGCTTAGAGTAGAGCGATACCAGGATCTACCACCGTCCTGGTATCAAAGCTGCATGGTAGCAAATCTCCCTGAGATCCACATGAGCGGCGGCTGCATGTGGTGGTGAAGACATGGTGCAGACTTTAGCCAGGCTGACCTCGGGATTCCAGGGAACCACAATGGCTTAACCAGCAAATCTCCGAAAAGTGGTGATTATGCTGGGGTCCGCACAACCAGTGAGGACGAGCAATTCAAGTAAGTATATACATATAAATATACATGTATATACATGCATATATATGTATATATAAATATGTACATAAAGTGCACGTGTAGCGATGTGATTGGAAGTGCCTGCAACCCTGCAATGCAATAAAGGTCGTTGGTTCGATGCCGCTCTTCAGTCGAAAGAAGTTCCACATCTTTCCGCGTTCGGCTGTTTGCTATCAGACTATTTGAGCAAAGTAAAAACACCGACTTATTTCATCGGTGAGCTTCCACAGGTCATCATCTTCATCATATTGGTCAGATATAGGTGTAAACCCAAAACAGTTGTTTATTGACCAAGAGACTAAATTAGTGTCAAAAGATATTAAAATTCAAACTAGTCACCAGTGTAATCACCTGAATCACCTGTTTCACTGAGTCACCTAAACAGGCACCAATAAGATCTACGTTCTACGTTGTCGCATGACGAAATTGATTAGTTTGCTTCACTCATTCGTCAAGCACTAAGATTGCTGTACTTTTCTACGACACCCTCTCTTTCAATCGTTTTCGGAAGAAGACCCCGAATGTAAGCTTGTAGGGCTCTTCCGGTATTGATATGAGACTTATCTACTGGTGACGATACTAAACCGCCACTCATGGAGCGCATACTTTCGAGTCACCTGACTGTAGAATTTCTCAGCATGTGAAGGGACACATTACGCCCAATACACTTTCGTCGCGGAGCAAGTACTTGGTTTTTTCTAGACTATCTTTAGCCTCTATCACCTACTTGGGAGGGTCCGCCTAAGCTCGCTACTAGTGGACTCGAGGTAGGTGATAACTGTGGGATATGGTATTTTACTTGAATGTCTTGCTTTTCGCATCGTCTACTTTTAAACCTGCTTATCTCCCATCCATCAGTACTGTCCTCGGGTTGTCGATGTATGACATACGGATTAAATAAAACACCTAATCAATACATGTAGTGGATGAATACGTTGAGTTTCTCAGTAAATGTTCCATGTCTCATTATTGGTCAGCTTGACTGGCCATTATTGTGAAGACTAAATTTGAAGCTAGATTTGCTCACAGTGTTTATAAATCTCCATTATAACAATGTACGAACCGTATGATTATCTATCTTACCAACCACTTGACGTGTGAACGTGTGTGGCGCAGTGATCGTAGGCACCCTGCAACACACACATGGGATTGATCTCCGCGCCCGTGGCTCACCAAGCCTTCCATCCTTCCGGGCTCGGCAAATTGATACCACACTTCTCTGGAAGGATAGCAGCACTGGCTGGATTCATCGGTAGGCCGCCGCGAGTCATTGTAAAGGCCAAATATGCATTCAATAACGTCCACATGATGCTTAGTGAAGTCGAGTACATGGTGCATCTCTCAGGGATTGATCAACGCCGAGAGCTTTATCCTTTTTAGTTTTATCCTTTTATTAACCACTTGAACTTCAAATATTCTTCCAACTCGATCACTATTTCCCAAGACCGACTTTCTATCAATAACAGCATTGATCAGATAATTCACTATATCCTGGTTACACCTCGCGCTTACTCGATAGAAATGTAGTGAATTTTTCAACCCTAAAAAAAGCATGAAGCTCTTGGCGTTGATCAGTCCATGAGGGATGCGCCATGCATTCGACTTCATTAAGGGTCGTATGGAGGTGATTGAATGCATATCTGGCCTTTACAATGACTCGTGGTGGCCCACCGATGTATCAGTGCTGTTATCCTCCCAGGCAAGTCTGGTACCAATTTGCCGACCCCGGAGGGATGGAAGGCTTGGCCCATGGGCGCAGGGATCGATTCCACGTGCGTGTCTCAGTGGCGCCTCCAACGGCTCCGCCACACGCGCCTCTTTTCAACTCTGATCGTCATTAATTTGATATTGATCTATAATCTAAGTGTTGATTGAGATAACTTTCCTCAAACATTACGTTGTCTTACATAAATACATAGCCATAATCATGTTTCCACGTAAGCAGCACATTTCTCTAATTCAGGCCGATTCTCTTGCACCGCCAGCTCCTCTGAGCAAAAACGTCCTCTCCCCATCATTTACGGCGGAAGAACGTGCTCCTGAATACACAGAAACTCCCGGACCATCAGAGTCAACTTTTCGTCCAGCGATATCACCACGCACCGAGCCAAGCATGGATGAGATCGATCTTTGCGAGGCGGTCGGGACACAACCTCCGATGGACTTGTTGAAATAGAAAGTCACCAACGCACTGTCTATGCTGAAAACTCGGCCTTTAAGTAGCTGATCGTATAATTCCGACGATTCACGTTGTTCACTAACTCTTGTAAGACTTTGGCTCATCACACCATAGACAACAAATACGGTCACATACTCGGTACTCACTTTGCATCGTGATTTTCGATTCCAATTGTAAATCCCAATAAAAATTCAGTTTCGTTGGTGTTATGGCAATTTGAACGTTATTTTAAAATGGATAGAGATCGAACCATTTAAGATGGTAAAATATCATGACTTATATTTGGTACAGCTGTGAATTAAAAAGGGCGCGTGTGACGCAGTGGTTGGAGGCGCCACACCTGGAATCGATCCCCGCGCCCGTGGCTCACCAAGCCTTCCATCCCTCCGGGGTCGGCAGATTAGTACCAGACTTGTCTGGGAGGATAGCAGCGCTGGCTCGATACATCGATAGTCATTGTAAAGGCCAGATATGCATTCAATCACCCCCAACGATACTTAATGAAGTCGAATGCATGGCGTATCCCTCAGTGATTGATCAGCGCTGAGAGCTTTATTCTTTTATGGCGTAGTGGCGAGAGATGCCCTGCGATACATAGTGGGATTTTGGTGCGGTCTCGAAATGTAACTAAAAATAACTACCCTGCTTGATAGGTTACTGTTCCACAAAAAGTTTAGGTTAAGTTTGCAGTTAATGACGCTACGATGCTTAGTGGAATCGACTGCCTGATGAACACTTGCCCAAGATTTGATCAATGCCAGCTGCTTTTTTTCCTTGTCCTTTATAGTTAGCATTCGACTCACTGACAGCTTAAGGTTCGACACTAAGCGAGATATTTTTTTTCGAAGGGTTTCTTTTGTCACGTAGTTCTTCATATTCTTCCATCGCACTTGGTGGTCACACAAAATCTCTGTATGGTGTTGAAAGTCTTCACCAATATCAAGACTGTTGGATCAGTTTCCTTAAACAAAAGTTGTAGAAAGCATAACCTTCGTTTCTAATTGAAATAATTCATTTCATCCTAACGTAATGCTTTTCGACACTTCTTCTTCAATGTCAGCAAAAAAAAACGCTCTGCCTAACATGACATCATCGTTCAAAAAAAGGATCAAGAAACACTTGCTAATTGATGGAAATATCTTTAGATGATCTGAAGCGTAGATTGCTCCGAATTGCTCACGAGGATATGATTGGACCACCAAAATTGGAAAGAGTTCAGAAAATACCTTCCACAATTCCAGCTATGGGATATCCATCTGAGCTGTGTATGGCTGCTTCCCTGCCAAGAAAATTAAGAAGAAAGCCATTGTATGGAAAGTGTGATTTTCTTCATGTTCGCCGAGCAAGCATGACTTGCTGAGCAGCCCTACGCAACCGGAACGAGAGTTGTAGGTCTTTGAGCGCTAGCTCAGCAATTTGTATAAATGGTGGGGAAGGTCTACCGCGAAATGTGAGGAAGTCAATTCAAAAATGGATACCTAAGATCGCAAACGGAGGGGAAACGCAAGGATAAAATCTTTTTGTTAAGGCCAACCTAGCTTAGTCTAAACTTGGCACAGCAACTGCGAGTAACTTGAAAGCTTACCAGAAAATCGCACCATGCTAATGCCTGATTTCTCCACTCCAAAATCTTCGGTAGATGGTAGTTACGCCGGAATGCAGAAGTAAGTTTAGTTTTGTTCTTGCAGAGATCTGAAATAAAGCATATTTAGATCAAAAGGGCTTATTCATTTAAATCGTAGTGTTCAAATGTCAGGATGGTGGGGTGGAAAAATTAAAGAAATATACACAGAAAAGATACCTAGTTCGATTACTGAACGACGTTAAGAAGAGCGTGGGAAAATATCGACACGAATAGATGGATTCTACGGATGAAAGAATGAAAAATTTTCAAGTTCGTTGAAGGGAAATAGAAAAACAAACGATAAACCCCTCTGCCTAAAGTCGAAAATCGAGCATTAATTCGCCTAAGCAAACGGAAGATGATGAGGAATGGGAAATGTTTTGATATTGAGGTTACGACAGAAATCCACTTGATAAAGATATACAAACAATGCGTTCATGTAACGGGCATAGACAGTAGTCCTATTCTTAAACTTCTACGATTGAAAAAAGCGGGCTAAACGGTACCGCGATTCTGTAATTGGTGTCATTTTGAAGAAGTTTCGATAAGTTCCAGAGCAAAACGTGAAAAGAAGTAAGAACATTTAGTTCTGTATAAAATGTAGCTGGGACGCATAACAGTGGATAATGGACCAGACAGTGGGTATCCCTAGAAAGAAAGGCAATGGACTGGTTGCATGACAGGGTTGCAAACGCTTCATCCAAAATCGTGTTACCAGAGGAATCGCTGAATAGTGGTAGAGCATTAACGCGATCGCTGGACGCTGTCTGGAAACAAGGTGTTGAAAAAGAGTACACAGTCATTAATAGGATTAAACCCAACTCACCTTTGGAAACAGTTTCAAGTCTTATTAACTCTTATTTTGTACTCATTTTAAAGATACATGTGCATGTGCTATGTGGAATTGATATTGACAATAATCTTGACATGGGATTTGCCATTCTTACCTGCAATCAACAATCTTTTTCTCAACTAATATGGTGCTGAGGTATTTGCAAAACTCCGCACCGCAGGTGTCTGCGGTGGGGAACGAACGCGCTATTGTCCTCTCAGGGAAGTAACGCGTGCACCACCACACCATGCGGGTCCTTCGTTCCGCCTGTCTCTCAACTAGTTCTTTCGATCAGCGCCATCAGCAATCACCCTTCAACGGGATTGATCTAGGGAACCAAAATTGGCAACGAACCGTGTTAAGTCGAGGCTGAAGTTGAAACCACGATCTCAACCTTTTTATTTCGAGCGTTTTAGAGCGCGTTCGTTTCCCACAGCAGACATCTGCGGTCCGGAGTTTTGCGAATACCTCAGCATCATTTTAGTTGTATTTGACATGATACCGTGCAGTGAAAAATTATAGTAGGAAGTGAATAAACGGCTAAGATTAATCTTTCTCTCAGTCATCTCTCCGGCTATTGACAAGTTCGTAGAGGATGGTCGTAAACTGTGAACATCTTGAAAATGCTCTTCACACCTTTGAATATCTACACTATCATGCAGCTCAGGTGCTGTTGGGCTATCGGCTATCTTCTTCTTCTGAATGCTTGTTTTAGAAGTCGCTTCCCGTTTCTCCTACGGCCTCTCTGAAGCAAGTCTTCGACCAACGAGAAACTCTTGTGCTGCCATCGGAATAATAATACTTTTCTTTGTCAAGCATATCGAATTGTTTACCGTAGGGTCCCTACAAAAGCATACACCAAAATTCTGTAGGTGAAGCCATGTCAGCGGCGTAATGTTAACAACTTTCTCTTTTCATGTGGGATACAGTGGAGGATGGCGCCCCTGCTTCTAAACGGTATGAGGCGACCCCTCCTTTCTAAATGTCGGGCACAGAAATTTATAAAAATCTCTCAGTTCTGCGCACCGATACATACTTTATAGATACACACCGGGCTGAATGTGGTTAGAGATTTAGTGGCTACGAGGCACTGCACAGAAAGACCGCTCACCACTGACTTCGTCAACACCATCCTCTTTCTCCGATTCACTTTGGTCAGGCTCTTGGAGAGAAAGCAGAGGAGCTTCCACATTGTCCTCCATATCCCAAATTTGTTCATTCTCGATTGTCAGCTGACATGGCTCAGGGCAGTAACACTCAAATCCTGATCTGCAAGATTAATTCGAAACGATAAAAAAGAAAATTCATTATAAGTGGGCAGGTCGATAATATCAAGAAAGATGGTAGTGGAGAAGGAGCGAAAGGATACAAAACATAAAAATCGACCAAGAAAGTACGGAATGACGATAGCTTCACAAAGACGCTCCCCATACCGGTTTATCAAGAGTCGCCTTAAGAGTGGTAGGAGTGGTAGGATAATCACTATGACTTCTCCGATAACAATCATAGAAAATTTCGTCAAATCATTGACGTTGTCAATACACGATCCTGTTGGTCTTTACTTCCAACTCGTACGTATCTGAAGGCAGTCACGCCTTTCAACAAGCGTACCTCAGCTCACAGCGAACGTTATCAATTGAAATAAAGGCTATGAAAATCTAGAGGTCTTCACCAAACGACACGAGCTTTTTATTCTACCATAATAAAAATTTAACTTTTTCGAACGTCTATTTAAATGGAATCGGAACAAAAATTGCACTTTAGAAGGCTTATTGCTTTCTTCGAGCAATAAGGCAATGTGTCTTCAACGAATATTTCATGTTACAAACTCTGTAAATTCTCTGGTTACCAAAAACTATCGAGGGCTATTGTAAAACCACTATTGTTTTCTTGTAGGGAATGTAAAGTTCAATTTTCCCCTAGTAATACGCTGATTTCTTAACTACACTTTTTTGTTACGATGGGTCTGATTATGGCACGGTTAGTCGAAAGCCGAACATGCCGAGATATATTTGATAAAAGGATAAAAAGGTAAACCTCTCGGCGTTGTTCAATCCCTGAGGGATGCGGCATGCATTTGACTTCTTTTAGTATCGTTGGTGGTGATTGAATTCATATCCGACCTTTACAATGACTCGCGGTGGCCTACCGATGTAACGAGTTAGTGCTGCTATCCTCCCAAACAGGTCTGGTACCAATTTGCCGACCCCGGAGGAATGGAAGGCTTGGTGAGCCATGGGCGCGGAGATCGATTCCACGTGTGTGCCGCAGTGGTGCCTCCAACCAGCACGCCACACGCGCCCATATACTTAATATAAGATGTTAAACACTTGAAGTTGTTGATATCAGTGTGTTATGATGGTAATGTATAGCAAGATGTATTACTAGCAGGAATATTCTATCCCTAGGTGGATAAAGGAAAGCTTCGCCTACAAGTCTATTATGTTCTCAACCCCATAAATCCTCTAGCTACCAAACTGTTGTCGCTTACTGTAAAAAAAAACCAGCATCGAAGTGTTCAGACTGCGCACGAGTTTTTTG